AAATGGTCTGCTAACACCCCACAATAAGTCTGTGGTAAGGTTTCAAGAAGCAACAAAGATTTAGCCTGCAAAGATGACACCAACAAAAAGTTGGAAGAACCTTCAAAGTACCCAGCAAAAGGAATATTTGGAGGTAGTACAAATCTTAACAAGAAGATAGTCATTCCCTTTATCAAGACAAACATTGACAAATACTTGAATAGGAAAGACAGTATAGGAAACAATCTTATAAAGAACCACATGTAGTTCCATCTCTTGCAATACTAGTAGTATATAGAGCTACTAGTACTATCCAGCCCTCCTTTGGGATGGGAATCCTCCACTTAGAGCAAGAGGAGTAATCACGAGATGGAAGTGAAAGCCCCTGCTAAGAGAACATCTCAAATCTCTCAGTCACTGATCAAACAGACTGCAATGTGACATATTGGATACTTCACAATTGACAGACTCCACTGCAAGTTTGATGTACAATTGACCAAAAACTGCCAGCAGGTTGCCTAAATTGAAAAGTTGTTCTCTCTTCACCATTGGCAAAAGAAGCATTGATACTGGTTTTGCTGTCTGTAGGATATCAGACCGTGGGTATGACTCATACATACAACACATACATACGATACGTATCTACAATTCACACACACCATACAGCATATATGACTCACGCAATCCTACTGGATTCATATGATCGACATGACTCATTTCATTCACTTGCGTGAGTGACTCGACTCATTCGATTCACACATCACTTGATCCTCACAGCGATCCATTTTAGATTTCATAGTTCATTGATCCTTGATAAGAGCATCGACTCACTTTTCTTCTAGCACACACTTTACATCACTTTTAGGACAGTCACTCCCACAGGTTATGACACCCTTCCAATAAAATTCATCACCACCATGGTGATAATTTTTTAGGCGTGATCTCTCCTCAATACAAACTCTACTGACACTGCGTCGACACACACCTTTGAACAATACACATCGTCTTTGACAATGCCTAAGTCTTGTCGCTACCATCGTCTTTGACAACACATATGCCTTGTCACTGCCATCGTCTTCAAAATTATCATTACACAGTCACGACAATAATCGTTACTCAGCAACGATTTCAAAACGACCGTCATTGTCGCCGCTCACAACGCTTTCTCGCATCACAAAACTTTCGAAATCTTTCAACATTTCTCTTTTTTACGATCAATGAAACTTATTCAGCGACGACAAACCCAATTCTATTTTTTTAATTCCCACAACGAATTAAAATAAATCCCATGCACATACTACACACGTACTAACAATATATTTCTTATTCCCACAACGCGACCATCTCACGTTACGCGCAACCACCTCACATTACATGTCCAACCCGCGTTGCCGTAAAACTCCAATTCAAAACAAAATTCAAGCTTCTCACGAAAACCGGTACTTTTTCAATAACCTTGCACTTCAAATCACTTCGCAACATCTCCCAAAAAATATATTTCTTCTTACTCAGATCAAAATATATTTTATACTTCCGACGTCATCTCGCCCTTCAAACTCCACCATGACTAAAACCAGAAGCGCAAAGCCTACCTTCTACCCCGACATTGACTACATCCAAGCAGTCTTCCTTGCGCATCACAGTTATCCTGAACTCACGGAACCAATGAACATCGCATATGGTTTCACAGGCGAATTCGTCAATTACCTCAACAAGAATCAAGATGCTTTCAACGATGTCGCCAAATTCATCCCAGCCATCAAAGAAAATATCATCGAATACATGCAAGACAATGCTTTCAACACTACTGATACATCACGTATCAAAAAGCTCATGACAGAGAAAACAACACTCATGGCTGAAATTTCAAAGAACAAATGCGCACAAGCTTTGGAAACTAACAACACCAACCTTGACCACGCTCTCACCTTCGTATACAAGACCGAACAAACCGACACACTTGTCTTTTACGTCAACTGGTCACCCTTCTACATTGACAATAGAATGGACACGAAAAACGTTTACAACTTCGCCCTCTTCAGTGACATCCCCTTTCCACCTCCTGATCTCACCAAGACTGTTCCAGTTGTACCTGCACCTGGAAATACTGACCCCGCCATTGTCGCACTTTTTGAACAAAACAACAAAATCTTGAAGAACACTGCTGACGCAATCAAGAATCTTGCTCCAAAGCCAAAAACGACGGCGTATACCACCAGTATCAACCCCTTTGTTTCAATCAACTTCTCCACTGGCGTCAAAACTCGTTACAAATTCAATAAAGAACCATACAAGTTTCATACCAACGACACCCTCGCCAAACTCCATGACACTTCTTCGCTTCCCCATGGATTCCAAAATTACGCTCGTGATAATAAACACTTGGCATCAGGTTTTGTCACTTGAGATGGTTCCTATTTTGTTCTTGCTGACCTTGGACCACAAAGCGAAAAGAACTTCCGCAACAATGCCAATAAAATGACAGGTGAAACATCCTACGAACTCTACAATTGGTACACGTGCTTCACAACTCATTGCGCTTGGTATGGTAAATATTGTCACCCATATCCTTGCTTCCGCCCCAAGTGCACTCACCCCTGAGGCTTCACCATTGGCATGGATAATGAAGATGATCTTCATTTGACCTTCGAAACGAAAATATCTACCGACTCACGAATCATCTGGGATGTTCTTCATCACGCTTGTGCTTCCCACGATAAATTCCGTCACATTGTCGAACTCTACAATGGACATGGATACGGAGCTTTGAAAGCAATCATCTGCGCAACTCATCATTTTTGGTCGAATCCCCGTCCTCCTTAGTTACGACATGTCCTACACAAGGTTCACTATCCCTTATGGAATATTGGAAGAATTACAACCATTACATCATGCTCAGGGCGTTGGTCGAAAATAACAAGCAAACGGTTTATGACAAAAATGAACGAGAACACTTTGTCAGTGGTTGCACCTACTCGTCTTTCCTTCAAACCGAAATTTGTCGAGAACAAGACTTTAAACATCTCAAGCACAAATTTGAACTGTCCAACTTCCTTGCTACCCTCCAGCAATATTTGAATCTCCCAAATAGTCCGGCTATTGCTCAACCATTATATAGAAACCAAGCTCGCAAATTTAACGCATACTCTCCAAGTTACAAACGCCCCGAATCTGCAACAAAAACAATTTTGGTAAACCAAATCCAGACCACCGACGTTGACGACGACTTCCTTGACCTCGCCTACTCCATGTCAGTCAATCAGATCAAAGCCAACCCAGCTTCGTTTAATAAGCCATGCCTTGTTTGCAATATGATGAGACAGGAAGTCAAGGACAATAATGGGAAAAGTCTCCCTTGCCCAATGGAGGTCATCAAGTTTTGTTCCAATCACATACTGGAAAACTCTGCTGCACTATGGAACTAAAAGGATTCATGGATCACAAGCAAGAACAACAACAAGAAATGGACTCTGCAACAAACCAAAAACTGTAATGCTGTACATCCTTCTTGTCTGTTTCCTCCTCTAGTCCCTTGGCTGATTCCTTACAGCTCCTATGTTCAATTCTACTGGATCCATTCAAAGTCCTCTTCCTCCTCTTCTTGAAAAGACACCTAACTTCCCACATTCCTTACTACCGTACGGTACGATAGTAAAAAAACCCTGGGGTGAAGTTTTCAGTTTTCCAATTTCGGGCACACATGGAATGGTACTTTAAACGAGAACTGGTACTTTCAGCATGAAAATAATTGGAACTGTAACTTTTTTCGACGGCTGTTGTAAAATTATTAAAAATCATACCGTCACCTAATATAAACTTACTTAGAACAACTTTTCCTAATTTCTTGTTTTCTTCCTTCGCCAACAGTCATTTGGCCGGCAGCTCAAATTCACCAAAATAAACAGTAATTTCATTCCTTCAGCACGGGCGCTTGGCCGGCAGCTCAAATTCACTAAAATAAACAGTAATTTCATTCCTTCAGCACGGGCGCTGGCAAAATAACTGGACCATTACGGTAAATTCACCAAAATAAACAGTATTTTCATTCGCTCCAGTCTTACGGCAGCTTCACTTGACCAAAATAAACAGTAATTTCAGCACAGGCTCCTATTNTCAGTAAGCTTGATAATCATGAATTCACCGTGTTAAGTGGTCGCACAAAAACTAAACGTACGGGGTTGCGACCAACCCCCGCGAACACTTTTTGTGACGTATCCAGCCCTCCTCGTCCTTTGGGATGATGGGACTCCACTTAGAGCAAGAGGAGTAATCGTCTTGAGATGGAAGTGAAAGCCCCTGGTAAGAGAACATCTCAAATCTCTCAGTCACTGATAAAAAACTGCAATGTGACATATTGGATACTTCACAATTGACAGACTCCACTGCAAGTTTGATGTACAATTGACCAAAAACTGCCAGGTTGCCTAAATTGAAAAGTTGTTCTCTCTTCACCATTACTAGCAAAAGCAATGATACTGGTTCACTATACATCATGAGACAGGAAGTCAAGGACAATAATGGGAAAAGTCTCCCTTGCCCAATGGAGGTCATCAAGTTTTGTTCCAATCACATACTGCTGGAAGCCGTCTGCACTAGTATGGAACTACTACTACTACTAAAAGGATTCATGGATCACAAGCAACAAGAAATGGACTCTGCAACAAACCAAAAACTGTAATGCTGTACATCCTTCTTGTCTGTTTCCTCATCTAGTCCCTTGGCTGATTCCTTACAGCTCATATGTTCAATTCTACTGGATCCATTCAAAGTCCTCTTCCTCCTCACCTAACTTCCCACATTCCTTACCGTACGACAGTTAAAAAAACACTGGGGTGAAGTTTTCAGTTTTCCAATTTCGGGCACCCATGGAATACGATTTTTTTGAGTCGCGCGACCCTTGGTTGTGACTCAGTCAATGAGTTAGTCACTTGCACGTCGTACGAAAATTAAAGGATTAACCACGGTTAGTGCTTCTTACGTGTTTTACGTGTGTATTTCATCGTCTAATCCGATCCGATCCGATATGAGTACTGTATGAGTACCTGGTACGGGTACGTGTGTCCAGTCGTACGTGATACTCGTACGCAGACCTTTCCTCAGTTGTGCTGTACGGTGTACGGTACGAGTAGGGTAATAGCTATATCCATCGTTTAATTTCTGTACCGTACATTACTGTACATCCTGTACTGGTACGCAAAAAGACGACGACTTAAAAAAATCCACTCGATAGCTTCTGCTTCGTACCGAAACTGGTATTGACAATCAATTCTCCCACTAGTCACYAGGCCTCTGTCGGAAAGATCCATTGAACTATCGCAGCGAAGAGACATGTCGTGCTACTACCTGGCACTCACATTGCTGGCTTTTGTTTCCGTCGGAACGTCATTTTCGGTTCCCCACTTCTCAAAAGTTGTTAGTACCACAGCAAGAATGTCTTCCACAAGCACCACCGATGCTGAGCGGGGCACGCAGAGTAGCTACCTTCCTACCAAGGAGGCACGTCCGACATCCGATGGGGCCGACKCAATCACCTTCGAGGACATTGCCAAGTACCCCGGGCGCGCCTTTTTGTCCCGTGCAGGAGCGCCCACAAAGATTCGATTCGGCGCCGACAAYGAGAGCCTGATCTATCTAGGAGCCGGCGGCGAAGGCGGAAGCTTGACGCAAAAGCTCTGGAAACGGACCTTCATCCAGGAAGGAATAATTGCTGTGGAAGACACCGAGGATGTGATTACCGAGTTGGCGAAACCACCCGAGGGAGTTGGACAGGAGGACACTCTTTCGGAGGAAGAAAAGCTCCGTCGGGAGCGGACTCGGCAGCTGGAAACSGGGATCACTAATTTCGAGTACAGCGGGAACAAGCAGGTAATCTTGTGTCCAATCGGGAATGACATCTTTGTATTGAGAGAAGGCGGTGCCGAACCAAGCTTGCCTGGGGATATGGGTGAACCAACTCTCGATGGCAGCAACAACAGYAACAACGGCAACGACAGCAACGAATTGGTTCAGATCGTCGATTCAACGAAACTCCCAGGAAGCGTTATCGATCCCCACATTAGCGACGACGGATCGATTGTGGTGTTTGTGTGCGAAAATGAACTCTACATGGCTTCCACGGTTTTCGACGGTGACGAAATTCCGGCACCCGTCAAGCTGACCCACGATGCCAAAAACGGCATCGTCAACGGCCTCGCTGATTTCATTGCCATGGAAGAAATGTCTCGCAACGAGGGGTTTTGGATCTCGCCCGATTCGAAGTTCGTTGCGTTTGAACAGAGCGACGAGTCACAYATTCCTAACTACCGCATTATGCACCAGGGCCAGGCSGATCCGGCCCGGCAGGAGGACCACCGATATCCCTTTGCCGGCCAGCCCAACCCAAAGGTGAAGCTCGGGGTTCTGGCGAACGACGGAGACAAAGKCACGCCAGTAACTTGGCTCGACATCCATTCTCCGTTCGGAGAGGATATGTACCTGGCACGGGTYCAATGGGGAGTGAAAAGTCCATTTCTAGAACAACAGCACCTCTAYGTYCAGGTCATGAACCGGGAACAGACCGAACTGGTCCTTTTGCGATTCGACATGACCGAAGGTGAAACGAATGATGCCCCACTCGTAGGCAAGGAACTGATCCGTGAAACCGCCAAGGAGGGGGCATGGCACAATCTCCACGACATCCTAGTCCCCCTCAAATCCGGGGGCTTTGTCTGGGCCAGCGAATCCGACAATGGATTTCGCCACTTGTACCTGCACGACGGAGACGGCAACCGCATCGTTCCGATTACGCAGGACATGGAGCGAGGGCCCGAATACGACAACTGGATGGTTGATTCGTGCACTCCGGATATGGTCAATCAAGAGCGCGATGCATATTACTTCACAGGAACCAAGGACGGCGCAAAGGAATCCCACTTGTATTGCACCTCCATCGAAATGTGGGGCGACGGAGAAAAGATTCGCCGTGTGACTCCGGAGGGTGGGGTCCACTCGGTGTTGGCCATCAATACCCGAACGGGGATCTTTGTCGATTCATGGTCTTCCATCAACGAACACCATAAGGTGGCGGTCCGCTCGCTCGAGGATGGATCTATCCTTCGCATGCTCCACGATGGATCCACCACCGACAAAAGAGTGCATGAGCTGTCGCTTCCAGCACCTGAATGGTTCGACGTGACGAGCACCGCAGAAAACGAAAACGCAAGTGGCAAGGAATCAATGACGCTCCACGGTGCTATCTATAAGCCGGATCCAGAGATCTACGGAGATGGCCCTTACCCAGCGGTGGTATCGGTATACGGTGGGCCTCATGCCCAGATGGTCACGGACAGCTACGGCATGACAGTAGATTTGCGCGCCCAGCGATTGCGGGCCCAGGGATACGTCGTCCTCAAGGTAGACAACCGTGGATCCACGAGACGAGGACTCGATTTCGAGACAGCCATCCGGTACGACATGGGGAACCTCGAAGTGGAAGACCAGGTGGAAGCCGTTCGGCACTGGGTGGAGAAGGGTGTTGTGGACCCAAAACGTGTAGGGATCTACGGCTGGAGCTACGGTGGATACATGAGTGCTATGTGCCTTGCCAAGCGGCCCGACATCTTCAAGGTTGCTGTCGCCGGGGCCATGGTCTCAAGTTGGGACGGATACGACACATGCTACACGGAACGGTACATGGGAACTCCTGRGTCCAACCCGGAAGGCTACGAGCGATCGGAGGTCATGCCCTTCGTCGACCAGATTGAGGGTAGCCTCTTACTGGTCCACGGATTGATCGACGAGAATGTCCACTTTCGGCACACGGCCCGGTTGATCAACTCACTGATCAAGGCGCGAAAGCAGTACGAGCTCCTCCTTTTCCCCGACGAGCGCCACGTCCCACGTGGACTTGAMGACAAGATCTTTATGGAAGAACGGATCTCGTCCTTTATCGAGCGGTGTCTATAGTACACAATGGGCAATAAAAATTTTGGCAAACTCTGCGATGTTTTGTATACGGTGCCGTTCTAAATATATTGCATGGATGCTGCTCTCCCAGTATGCTATTTCAACGAATTATATTGAAATTGAGCGTTGTATGAAAGTAAATTACGGGACTCTTCATTAGTACAACGGGGAGTCTAGTACCAACAGTGGTGCATTGCTACGCTATCCTAGGAGTGATGATGATAATACGAATTCTTTTGACCGAGACCATTGCTTTCTGGTTTTGTAAGCAGTTAGTAAGCTACTACGAGTAGTAGTACAACTGATAATACTAGTGTTAGAGAACAAGTTTTGCCGGATGCACCGGTCTGGTGACACATTTGTAAGGGATACGTACTTTTCCTTCTGTATTATTTCACTTTCGTACAGATTGTAGTAGTAGAAGTTATAAATTCTTGATTCAATACTACAATGAACGAAGCATTTAAGAAAAACACTTCTATTGACGAGATAAATTAGTAAAGAGCTGTTAGTAGCACCTTGTATTTTGAACCTGTTGACAAACCTCAGATTTCCAATGTCTACTAAGACATGGCTGCTGAAGGGGATTTTGTTTAAGATTTGATATTTTCTTAGAGTTAGGGATAGCTAATACTGATACTTCATATTTTGTAGGAGTGAAGAAATCCGACTGGCTGATTAGTAGACAGATCAACATAATTATCAGAAATTTAKTTTAATTAGGAATTGTACTACATTAGGAATAAAAMATTGGGATGATTTTTGCTTACTATCCTTATTCTACAAGGAAATTGAATTTCAAGGGGGTGCTAATTTTGATCTTTCTAATTTGCCAATCATGTTGCTTACAGTAATTGGGTGATTCCCACAAATATTAATATATATCTTTTCTGACCCAGCCGGCTCTTTTTATGTACCAAAATACACATTTCATTGGAATCCTTGATGCAAAGGAGATCAAGCACCTCATTGGTTCAAATGCTAACTTTGGAGATGGAGAGGAGGAATTTGAGACRACGCCAACTCAAGAGTCCACCACTCAAGAGTCCTCCACTCAAGTGTACAATCTAGAATTTTTGTTGACTCAAGCCACTGAAGCATCCTCCTCCACTCAGGTGTCCAATCTAGAACTTTTGTTGACTCACGTTGTTCCTCAGAGTACTCCACACCCATGTCCTACAGCCAAGAGACCATACTACTTGAGATCTTCATCAAGCTGCAACATGAGCAACAAAGACTTTGCATCAATGTTACAGATGTCCATGCAACAGCAACAAGCCCTGGGTATCCAGTAGAGCGAACACCGACTTCACATCCATGTTCCAGATGTCCATGCAACAGCAACAAGCCCTGGGTATCCAGTAGAGCGAACACCGACTTCACATCCATGTTCCAGATGTCCATGCAACAGCAACAAGCCCTGGTGAATGCTCAGTCCAGAGAATAGCAACAAACCCTGGCTACCAAGTCCAGGGAACAGCACCACCAGTCCATGGATCAGCATCAGTGAACCATGACAGAAATCAAAGATATGCTTCATTCCCTTGCCAATGCCTATCTTCCTGCTGCTGCTTGTTGTTGTTGCAAAAAAAGAAKAGGAGAAAGAAGCACAAGGAGTGACACAACATGTCCTCCTCCTCCTTGGACAACGATTTTGAATAATCCCATGGTCATTTACTAATTCTTACAATTAAGATTACTAAACTAGTTTACTRTTTGTTGATTGCTGCTTGTTGCTCCCCACTACTGTTTGGTTCTGTTTGCAATTTATGAGTACACAATACTTTACTGCTAAAATAGCAACCTACACAATACTATGTGTTGTTTGGAATCAATCTATTGGTTCCTTCTTAACAAGGGAGTGTGCCAGCACTTGTCATGGGATAGCTTCCATCTGACTATATCCCAAAATATCCATTGATGAATATTTGCATTGCAACATGTGCAACACATCCTGTGGGATTGTTTCCATATGCAATGTGTTCCATCCCTGTTACCAGGCCTGTTTTTTGGTGGGAAAATATGCAAGAAAACTTGCAAGACAAAAGAACACTGGTGTGTATCAGGAGGGTTCCTCCTTTATAACACGGTGTAGTATTGCATGTGTTCCTCCATCCTCCCTTTGGATCCTCAYCCTTCATAATACTAATTGGAGCAGATTCTAAGATCTGCAATTGCTACTGAACTAAACCCAACTAAACAATAAACAACAATCAACTTGACCACCATACTGGGATTCATTTGCCATTGGTGTCAGCTCTGCTCAGTGTTGCTGTCAGCTTTGCTCAGTGTCAGCTCTTGCAACAAAAGTACTGGCTCTGCTCAGGGTTGACTATCACGACAAGCAGAACAAGCCGGGAAACAAACTCTCTGTGTCCATGTTGGGTGCAATAGAATAAGAAAAGTAACTACTTTGGTGGCATTTTGGATATGAGTCCTTCATCTCTTCAAAAGATTCAAAGCCACTGGTATTGCTCATGAAGGTGTCGAGGATCTGATTAATGCCCGCTGTGTTGCATTKGTGATAAGTATACCACAGCAACAACAAGAAATTAACAAGATTGATCTTCCTATCCTGTAGCTCTTCCAGAGTAAGCCTGTCCTTCATTCTTGGGAATTGACCTTGAATCATTCTCATGCCGCCCCATTCAGACAACTTTCAGGAAGCGGCCATCACTTGCCTATTGACTACCACAGCCTGGTTGTTTTCAGCCATAGTAGTATTCTTGAATGTATCTGGATCATTTTGCTGGCTAGTGCCTTTTACCTTGAATGAATAATCCATAACAATTCTCCCCCCACCAGTCCTGTTATATATGGCTTCTGTCTTTTTGGCATATATGTCATGCTCTGTCATGTTACTGTCATGCCAAGTCCCAGGGCAGTTATATGTGGTCATCCTAATTCTTCCATCTGGTGAAAAGAGAAGAATGCCATTTATGTAGTATGTGTCAGCAACCAATGAGTTGTAGTAGTAGTAGTAGTAGTAGTAGTAGTAGTAGTACTACATGATGCTTTGAATGGTGGCCCACCAGGTTGTACTACTACTAGTAGTAGTACTAGTAGAATGCTCGTCAAGCTTGTTACTACTACTACTACTACTACTACTACTA